TAGCTGAAAACTTAATGTTGATAATTAAATTTTATTGTATTTTGTCATGGCTTCTACATCTTTGTTATTTATTTTTCTAAACTATTTTATTGTGTTTTTTCTTGAACCAAGGGTCTATTGAAAATAAAATTATTAAGATATGATAAGATCGGTATACACACTATCCTCTATAATACCAATTTGTGAAATTACACAACGTATAATATTAACAATTAAACTTTAATAATACTTATTATTGAAATTATGTAAAAAAATATCATTTTAAATAGTCAAAATAATTTCATAATCTTCAATATTAAAGTTTGATCAAGTGTTTACAATTCGAAGCATTTGACTTGAGCTTTAAATGGAGGACGTAACTGCCCCCTTAGAATAGTTTTTTTTTTTAAAAGAGGGCTCATTTTTTCTTTTTTTGGAGCAATTGTTAGTAGCAAAGATATTTTTACGCTACTTAGCTAATTAAAGGGGGTGTGGGGGGGATTTTTGAACAAATAGTATATGTTAAAATATTTGTTTTAATTTACTTGTTTAATTTATGAATCAAGAAAATTTTATTATAGGAAAAAAGGACGGATTTACCCCGAACTTTAATAAATGGTACGTCTATGCCCTCCGTTATACTTTATGTCCACATAAGCCCCTGTCGTCCAATTATAGGTACACACATGCCCCTTTCACTAATGGACCCCTCATTTTTTTACACGTGTCTTAATCCTAATGAACTACCCGTTTGACCTTCTTTTTTTTTAACCCATAAACCAACTATCCGCCCCATAACCCAATTTCCTCTAAAAGGCATCCTAATTAAAAGACCCAAATTAACAGGTCCCGTATCTCACATACAAAACCCTAGCCTAGTTCTTTCGTCTATGCCAGTTTGTTGGTCGATTCCACCTTGTCTTCGTCGAATCTATCGTGTGTTGGTCATAATTTCGTAGTCAATTTTTCATCTATCTGTCATCTCCCTCATCTTGGCTTGTAAAATGAAGGCACTCAAAGCAAAACTCAACGAATAGATTAGAAGTTTGCAAGGAAATTTTACTCTTAAAGAAAGAACATCCTCAGCCAGTTAGCAGATATGGACAGAATGCTTGCTGTGACGACTTTGACTGAGGATGAAAGCTACATTATTAATGGATTATGAGGAAGTCAATAAAAATGAAGAGTGCTCATGGAAACAAAAGTTTACATCTCTTTGTCTTAAAGAGGATGATAGGATCACCAAGTTCTTTCACAAAAGATACAATAACATAGAACAATTCATGTACAAGAAGTAACCATTGATGACCCAACAAGGATCAAGGGGAAGATCACTGACTTCTATTAGAAGTTATACACAAAAACAGATATGCGGAGATTGTTTGGTGATTTTAGAAGAAGAAAGGGAGAAACTGCAGGGGAACACAGAACTAGGCTAGGGTTTTGTGTGTGAGATATGGGACCTGTTAATTTGGGTCTTTTAATTAGGATGACTTTTAGAGGAAATTGGGTAGGTATTGGGTTATGGGGCGGATAGTTGGTTTATGGGTTAAAAAAAAAGGTCAAACGGGTAGTTCATTAGGATTAAGACATGTAAAAAATGAGGGGTCCGTTAGTGAGAGGGGCATGTGTGTACCTATAATTGGACGGCAGAGGCTTATGTGGACGCAAAGTATAACGGAGGGCATAGACGTACCATTTATTAAAGTTCGGGGGTAAATCCGTCCTTTTTCCCTTTATTATATTTTTTTCTTTTTACCTTTAGTATTAAATAATAGGGAAAAAGGACAAATATATCTCCGAACTATCGTAAATGGTATGTAGATACTCTCTGTCATACTTTTGAGACATTGGTGCCCCTGCCGTAAAAAAAACTAGAGCATATATGCCATTCATTCTAACGGAAGTATAAATAGGGGCACATGTTGCAATCTTATCCGTCGATCCGATATTTATTACATGTCAAATCGGTAGATAAGATTATGACACGTGTATGTCTATTAGTATAAAGAGTATATATGCTCTAGTTTTTGGATGACAAGGGCACCAATGTCCCAAAAGTATGACGGAGAGTATTTACATACCATTTACGATAGTTCAGGGGTATATTTATCCTTTTTTCCCTATTATTTAATACTAAAGGTAAAAAGAAAAAATATAATAAATTTTATTGATTTAATATGAAATGGATAATAAATTAATTAATTGGTAACATTTACACGTGAACAAGCTTTAAACTCCTTTAACTCAAATAAATATACCAAAAATAGAACTAAAATTGTCAATCCTTCCCTTTTTAACACAGAATCCGAGAGATCAAAATGGTCCTCCATGTATAGGAGTTAATTTATTTTGGTCCTTTATATATATCACCTTATCCAAATAGTCCTTAATGTATATAAAAAAGTGTATCATTTTAGTATAAAATGGGACGGAGGGAGTAGAAAAGTTTAAAAACTGTTAAAATTCACTGTGGGTCCCACATTTGGTGGACCCTTTCTTCCTCTCTTATTCTTCTTCCTTCTAAAGGGGGAGTTTTTGAATTCAGCACTTTCTGGTGAAATATCATAGTCAGCATATGCACTGCGGGAATCACCAATAGCCTGGTAATCACTGCCTCCGGGAGCCATGGTATATATATAAACTACTATGTGTTGACAACAATATATATCCTCCTCAAATCTGATCTTCTAGCTCTCTTGACGGCCCTGATCCTGCCACCAAAGTAAGCACGGACATAAATTGGAAAGTTATTCATTTTCTGTATAAAAAGGCAGAGAAATCAATTGTAAATTTGAGAAAAATAGAACTGAACGGACAAAGGTAGAAAATAAAAATTTACAAACCATTTTTTGAATTTGAAGAAAACTTTGTTTGTTTTAGAGGATTTTTTGCAGTAAATAGAAGAATAAATCAGTTGCAAATTTGAGAAAAAATGGCAGAAGAAAGAAGATGGGGAAGAAGAAAAAGAGAGGAAGAAAGGGTCCACCAAATGTGGGACCCACAGTGAATTTTAACAGTTTTTAAACTTTTCTACTCCCTCCGTCCCATTTTATGTGGCAACATTTGACCGGGCACGGAGTTTAAGAAATAAATGAAGACTTTGAAATGTTTACCAAATTGCCCTTTAAAAAGTACACTCACTTTTCTCTCTCCTCATAAATGTATTGGAGTATTATTTTAAGATTAAGTGGGACCAAC